AGAGAGAGAGAGAGAGAGAGACGTACTTTTCTTGACAAAGTTGGTGTAGTTTAGAGAGGAGAGGGTACTTATGCTTGATGAAGTTTAAAGTAAGAGAGAAATATTGTTTTGTTATATGCTTTGGTTATGTTCTTGATGAGGTAGAGAGAGAGAGAGAGAAGTATATATGCTTGTTGAAGTTTAAAGTGAGGAATATTGCTTCATTATGTGTTGTAATGAGGAGGAAATCATACAAGATTGGACCTATGAATCACCCTCAAAAGAAAAAAATACTAAAAGTCATTGTTGCTTCACGTGTCCTTTTTGCATACAAAAAGTCTACGATACAAGAGGAATATCCCGCATTGGGGATTTTGAGTTGGTATTGGGATGCAAGTCTTTAACAAAAGGAAGTTTAAAATGTCAATTTATCATGGCAAGCGGCTTTACCCTCTACATGAGGTGTTGGTGGGTCTAAGTCCCACTAAGGGAGTGGCAAGGTTAAAAAAAACGGATTTAGGTGGCTAGGCGGTTTGGGTCCTTGGCCTCCTAGGCGGTTAGGTGACAGGTAGCCTTGACCAAAATCAAACCCCTTCCTGCCCCCCCACCCCAAACATAAAAGATGTGGAAGTTCTTAGTGCTGGTTTATAGCCTTAGGCAGTAAGACTTAAGTGAATAACTAAATATATAAGACATTTTAAGAGTAATTAAGACTTTAGTTTCACTTTCACATTAGACTTAACCCCTTAAAATATCACATAATCAATTATTTATCAAATAAACTAAAACAAAAAAATAGGATATCAAAATAAGATACATTTTACAAAAAAGAATCAATTATTTATAAAAGAATACGATATATGCTCAATGTTTGAAAAAACGGTCCGCCTGACTCCTAGGCGCCTGCTTAGGTGGCCTGGACAAAAAATCCGCCCGCCTAGATCCAGGCTATAGGGCGGATGTACCTGGGAGGGGCGCCCGAGGTTTTAGGCGCCCGCCTAGGCGCAGGACGCTAGGCAGGCTGCCTAGGGGCTGCTTAGTGTTTTTTGAAACCTTGTATATGCTCAATTTCATTGTCCAAGTGAGAATAAAAATATACCAAAAATCAATCTGCTAACTACAAACATCTAAATATATTGTAAAAGGAAAAAAAAAGTAAAAGAAAAAATAAATGATTCATAACATAATGGGTTGTAGCAAAATAAAATCAAAACCCTCTTTTAGATGTGATAATACTTAAACAATATCAAAATCAAGTCGGTGTCGATGCAAACCTCGTCTATTAGGTTGCCAAAAGTTCTCAAAATCAACTATTAGAAGCTCTAAATCCACTCACGAACTATTGTCTTCGTTTTGGGAAGAAATTGAAAAAATATAAAAGTTATCGATCTTTTGATAAATTCCAAAATGGTGGTTTTCCTCATCGTAAATGCCATGGAATGTAAATTGGGGGTTTAGAATACCCCCTAAAACCCATTTCCCCCCTTTTAGGGGGGGAAAATTTTGTTTTTTATCCTCCCGCAAGGGTTTTTTTTTCATCGTTTGAAAATTGTCACGGGTTGGCGCCTAGGCGGCTGCCTAGAGAATAGCGCTTAGGCTGCGCCCAGACCGCCTAGGTGAGGCGCGCATAAGCAAAGCGCCTTATGCACCTGCCCAGATTATGCCTAGGTGTTTTGAATTTTTTTTCGCTTAGGCGGCCACCTAGGCGGTTGGGTGGCTGAATTTTTGAACATTGGGGAGTGGAAAATACCAAAAAAAAAGATCGAAAAAAATAAAAAAAATAAAAATATAAGTCGTCCCTTTGCGTAGGATGGAGGTGGGACCAACAATTATTGAAAGCGTAGATAGCAATAAATAAAAAATTGAAAAAATGAACAATATAAAAACCAAGAACTGGATGGTATAGAACATGCTAGACTGCCCGGTTCCTGACAGAACTGGCTGGTTCTGTCAAAGAACCAGCAAGTTCCTAGTAGGCTCCTCTCAGTTCCTAATATAGTTAGGAAATTGGGATAACCTCATTGATTCTTGGGTCGGTTCGGTTGATTTTGATGCGACCTAGCATTTTTTAAAACAAGGAGAGGAAGAGGTTGAAGATCATTGAACTTATTAGTCAATTGGTTAGCTTGTTAAAAGTTGTTGATAAAGTGCTATCCATGGGGCTTAATAAGTTGTGAGCCATTCTTTCCTTTTTTTGTTGGGAGCCAGTGTCTTAAAAAATGCAGGGTCGGATTGGAATCGCCCGATCCGACCTAGGAATCAGTGGGGCCATCCTAGTTCCCTAAATATATTGGGAACCATGCAGTTCCCGCTAGGAACTGGCCGGTTCTCTGACAGAACTAGCTAGTTCTGTCAGGGAATTGGGCGGTCTAGCCAGTTCTAGATAGCCCAGGTTTTAGTTTTTATATTTATTATTTTTTCAAATTTTTGATTTTATTGCTTGTCACTCTTTTAATGAGAGTTTGTCCCACCTCAACCCCATGAAAAGGGGACCATTGTTTTTATTTTATATTTTTTCAAATTTTTTATTTTGGTACTTGCCACTTTGGGAGTTGGCCCACCACTGCCCCATGTAGAGGGCAAAGCCGCCTATTATGGTAAAGTGTTCTTCTATATTTTCTTTTTATAGGGACTTGCATCCCAAATATCAATCCTAAGTCCATGATGTGGTTTATATCTCTTGTTTCGTTAGAGAAACTTTTTGCGTGCAAGAAAAGATAAGCAACAACAACATTGTGCATTATTGTAATTATTTTTTGATTTGTAGGTCCTTGTATGATTTCATCCATGTTACAATAAGTCGTCATCATCGCCATCATCATCATTCGAGCCTTGTCCCAACTTTTTTGGGGTCAGTTTCCATGAAAAGATGTGGCAAGCCTTGTTCCAACTTTTTGGGGTCAGCTTCCATGAAAAGATGTGGCAAAGTTTTACGTTAGCTGCCCACTTAATGTAACCTTCCTTTCTCTTCGGGCTTGGATTGGCATGACTGACTTGCTACTTGCCATGACCGTGTTATACTACATTATGGAGCAATATTTCTCTCTCACAATGTTAAACAACTTCAAAAAAAAAATCTCACTCTCAAAACTTCATCAGCATAATTTCTCTCTTTCTCAAGCATAAATACCCTTTACTCTCCGAAGTTCATCAAGACAAGTGCCAATATCTCTCTTAGCATTCTTTATTTCTACATAATATGCTAAACTATTATGGTCCTTTTTACTTCCTATTTTGGGATTACTTTACAATACTTTGGTGTGCTAACATTGTTATGGTTAGCATCGGTTATGAGGTGGGATATGGTTTAAGTGGAAGGCTCTAAAATGGAATAGGGAAGGCTCAAAAGGACATGGATAGAAGTAGTGAGATAAAATATGGTGATTTTTGGCCTTATTAGGGGTATGGTCCTTAATAGAGAAGAAGAGAGGGCCATGATTGATGTAGCTGACCCCAAATAATTAGGATATGCTTGGATGATGATGCCGATGATGAATGTGGTGTGCTAACATTGTTTGTTGACATATTCGATAATATAATAGAAAACCATAATGCATTACCTTTTTTTTATGGAAACCTAAAATAATAGATTATTTTTAAGAAATATTAGCAATTATTTGAAATTCTTTTAAGGCTGGATCGAACTGGCCAGCTGATCCACCTATTTGGATCGCCAATCCTCTGAATCAGACCAGTTTTCGGAATGGCCAATCTGGGTCATTGATCTATTTTTTTAACACTGTTGGGACCTATTATTTCCCTTTGAAAGTCACTTTGTTTGCCCATGCCCATGAATACATGCACTCTAGGCACAAGGAAGGCTAACTTATATGCTTGATTTGCTAGTTGGTAGGCCTTTTGGATGTGTCTCTTCTTTTTGCTTCGTTCTTTGCCTTAGTTGTTGAGTGTCTGAGTGTTTTTTAATCATTCCTAGTGTCCTAGGGCAGGGAGATCCTCGCTTCCCCTTTTGTTTTGTTACTTGTAGGATTTGGTCTACTTGTAAGGTGGGTTGAGGCTTGGGATGATACCAGCATTGGATGTGGTACCTGTATTACTTTCTCATGTTTAGTTTTCATACGTCTTGATCATTTCTTATCTTTTTTCTGTGGAGAATGTTTGAGCATTATGAGACGTTATTGAGGCAGAGAGGTTGTGTAAAAACCTTTATTGATAGGGCTGGGATTGTGATGCACTTCAATCTTATAGCTGTCCTAAGGCATGTTGTGTTATCAACTCAGTTTCGACATTGTATAGATTTATTACTTCCTGGGGATAAGTTTCAGTGGGTGCTCTGGGGTCAGATACTAGAAAGGTTGGTCTGAAACCTCAAACCTCTCCTTCGTAATGTTTAAACTTTCCATGTATAATCTATGGCGTTTTTTGTTGGCCATTTGTGCTTCTTTTTTATCACCTTACTTCATGTTTGGATTTTGGTACATACTGAATATGACAAAGGAAAAAGAGGAGAATTGTACGATTCCATGGTGGATATGGTTATTGCAAGTAATCACTCACACATTAAGAATTCAAGTTTTCCAAACAGCAAGTTGAACATCAACACTTCTATTTGATGTTCACTAGATGCGTTTAGAACTCCTACAGCTTCATGGCATTCTATTTTTCAATGGATGCCTCGAGTTAGTGGTAGATCATTGGTTATCTTTTGGGGATTTTAGAAGGATGCAATAAGATGTGTTTTAGTTGAATCTGGACTATGCATGTGGTGGAGGTGGATTTGATCAACTTGATCTTCATCCAATAAGTGTTTACTCGGTGGACATGAAATGTAAGGTTGGTTAATGGCAGTGTAGGGAAGCTAACCTTGTTTGAGCTAGAGGGGTATGTGAATCTCTTCTTCAGATTATCTTTAAGCTTATATCTCAAGAGTATGCGGAAGCTTATTTCACCTGGTATGTTGGTTGAGAACCTGGAGTGAATTGGTTACATTAAGGTTAAATGAATAATGGACTCCAACAAGGTGCCATAATTCTTGTTAATTGTATTAGTCTCTTAAGATACATAGTTGAGCCCCCCACTTGTTAACGGGGATTCCTTGATATCTTGGTTTGCTGGAGAAAGGACCAGCCTCCATGAGAAAATCTAATGGGCTCAAGAAAGTGGAGAGAGCATGTACTTGTATGGTGGTCTTATCTTGTGGCCATAGAGTATTGAATTAGACCTTGTAGCTTCCTGTCCCATAGACGATTTGAGTGTTTGCAACTTCATGTTCCTACTATTTTTGCTGATCCTGACTGTATTGAGGGATTTGCATATTTGTATTTGAGGTAATTTCCCAGATTTTTTTTGTCATCAGTAAGTGAAGACTTTCATGAGCAAGTAATAAAGAGCTAGGCATGGGCATGAAGAGATGCTGTGTTTTCATCTTATCGCCCAAAGAACCATTTGTACTCAGAAAGTTACTTTACTCTTCAGGAATTTTACTTTCATTTGCTTTTTGATAATTATTGCCCACTTGTTTCTGATAGTGGAAACTAGGTTGCATCAAGGATATGATGCTAAAAGAGTCTTCATGTTTCTTGCTTTTTGATAATTAATGCCCACTTGTTTCTGATAGTGGAAACCAGGTTGCATCAATTATATGATGCTAAAAATGTCTTCATGTTTCTATCCATCCATATGATGAAATTTTTATTCACACTGTTGTATTGCATGTTCTTCCCAGGAGGGAATGCAAGGCCTAACAGTTAGTGTATATGTAGCGGATCAGGAATAAAATGACAGTGTAGGCTTCTGTAGACACTTAGGTGTATACACTTCACTCAGTGGATGTTGAACCAAAGGTTAAGTTTAATGTATAACAGACATTGGAACTAAATTGCCTTTGTGTCGTTCATCAAAATTGTGTGCTCTTCATGAGAACTGTATTTTTTGTATAATGTTGGTTGATACTTGTGTGGGCCCAAATACAATAGGGTTTTCTTCCAGTAGGTTAAAAATCATGCTCGAGTTCCTGAACTTCAAGCCAACACTCCACATGTCCCTTTTCTAAATCATAAGCCCTATGGCCTTGCTTTCTCGTGGGAATCTTTGGGTCTTAATTCAGCTGCTGATTTTCAAGCTGAATAAAATACAGAGCATGTTCTTTGGGAAGATCTCTGATGGTGTTTGATGATGGGCTATAAGTTCTCTTTCATGGACTTTGGCAGTAAATAACATCTGAGGTGCTTCATAGGATCAGATTTTTTTTCCTCTTGAGAGAATTATTTGCATGCATTTCTAATGACTCTTAAAAAAAAGGTTCCATACATTTCTAGCATTCTGTTGGAGATACTTTGAGGCTTTTTCCTCGTTTGAGACTTTTAAAAAAAAGTTCCATTCATTCCTAAGCAAAAGAAACTTTCCAGTAAGTTGCAGAGTGATACTTTGAGGGAAGTCATCGGCAAGGTGATGGGTGATGCAAAGAAGAAGAACCGTAAATTCACAGAAACAATTGAGCTTCAAATCGGGTTGAAGAACTATGATCCACAGAAAGATAAGCGTTTCAGTGGCTCAGTTAAATTACCCCATGTTCCTAGGCCGAAGATGAAAGTCTGCATGCTTGGAGATGCTCAGCATGTTGAAGAGGTAATGTCCTTTGGCCACTTTAATGAGAGTATTTCTCAATATGAATGATATTCTAGAATTAAAAAAAAAAACTTTTTTGACTTTGGTAATATTTTCTTTGCTTGGGTTCAATTGCACTAAACAAGTAATGTTTTCTTTGTTCTCTGAAAGAATAGGTTTTTTAGTTAAAAATTCAAGTTTCAGCTATGCCACAGTTTTTGAGGAATTTTAAAATTTTCATTGCTGAGTATTAATCATTAGAGGATTGGGAAATTTCAGCTTTGGTCTAACATTGACCTTCATTCTTTTTTGAAAGAAATTTCCACTTTCATGCTTGGCTGAAACTAAATTGGGCATATTAGGGGTGCGGTTTGCATAGAGCCGAGGCTGTAAACAATCAAAGTAAAGTGCACCTTCAAATAGTGTCGAGAAATGTGCTTTCAATTCTGGAAATCTTTGTGATGGCCATAGAATATTTTTTCATCTTTAATTATAAAACTTAAAGCTTAAAAAATAGTGTAGATCGAGCAGATCTATGAAAAGCTGAAAATCTTGAAATTGACGGTCCAAAAATGCTTTACAAGATGCACTATTTCCAAAATTCAGAATTCATTTTTTTCTTATGTCCATGCGTCTTGATGTCGAGATGATGTTATTTGGGCATTAAAACAACCTCTCTAGTGAAAATTTTGAGGTGGGCTCTAATTTTATTGTTTAGAGTCTCGGCTCTATATAAACTTTTTGCATTAGTTTAAGCCTAAAGTGGCTTAAATATGACTTGGAATTTTTTAGCCTTTTTTGGGAATTGATAATATAATCATAGCATTCGGGGAAGTGGTGTTTTCTTCTCAATTTGATAGTGTCAATTTTCACGAGTCTTTGCTAAAGTTTAACTCGACTTCAGCTATTTTCTTTATGTTTTGAAAATCTAAAAAGGACTGCTTTCTTTTTTAATGGTTTCTTTCCAAAATTTTGTGAGAAACTTTGACAATACACTCAAGCCACAGTAAGAACTCCAGTGGTTTCTCTTATTTGTACTCACAAAACATGGAGAATTATAAGAAAAGCACCTGACCAATAAAAGAACGTTGACATTGTGGTGGTTATTTTGTGAAATGGGTTACCTGATGTTTCATGCTCCTTGTTTTTGCAGGCAGAGAAGATGGGATTAGACTATATGGATGTTGAGGGGCTAAAGAAGCTTAATAAAAACAAGAAGCTGGTGAAGAAACTCGCGAAGAAATATCATGCTTTTCTCGCATCTGAAGCAGTCATCAAGCAAATTCCAAGGCTTCTTGGACCTGGTCTCAACAAGGCGGGGAAGTTCCCAACTCTGGTTTCTCACCAAGAGTCATTGGAATCCAAGGTGAATGAAACAAAGGCCATTGTCAAATTTCAACTAAAGAAGGTCCTCTGCATGGGAGTTGCTGTAGGAAATTGCGCCATGGAGGAGAAGCAAGTGTTCCAAAATGTTCAAATGAGTGTTAACTTTTTGGTGTCTCTCTTGAAGAAGAACTGGCAAAATGTAAGTTCATGGTGTGTTGTTTGTGTGAGTGTGTTTGTGTGTGAGAGAGAGAGAGAGAGAGAGAGAGAGAGAGAGAGAGAGAGCACTTAGTTCTGAGTGGTAAACCTCTTTGAGAGAGAGAGAGAGAGCACTTAGTTCTGAGTAGGTAAACTCTTTGAGAGAGAGAGAGAGAGAGAGGGTACTTAGTTCTGTAGTACGTAAACCTCGTTAGAGAGAGAGAGAGAGAGAGAGAGAGACTAGTACGTTGTAGTAGTAGTAACCTCGTTAGTAGTAGAGA